CTCAAGAAATTTACCTGCATATATATAACAAAAATATTTACAGTAGGTCAACTAATTTGCTGCACAATCTCATATAAAAAGTCAGGATAGAAAACCACAGTAAAAGATACATACAGCATGATACTTTGCTCGTAATCCCAAATGAGGTCGAAAAAGGAAAGTGTCCACCTCGTCAATAACCACGGCCTATACAAAAACATTTTTTGTGTAAAACGTGAAAAAGACTGTACAAAAGTTCTATATCAGATATATTTGCAGATCTGTCAGGTTCAAAAACTTGTAAAAGAACCACCCTAAAATAAAGCATCATTTTCTTGGATGATGGAAAACGGAGTGATGAGATACCAGGAATGTCCAAGTCTAACATAATACCTTCATGTTTGGATGGTCAGACAAAAGATTTGATAAATGATAATCAGCACTAGAAGCCGTCTTATTTTCAGGATCACCCAACTGGAAGATAATATTATGTGAATATTAGCAATATGATCATTTTACAAATATATAAATATTAGATACGAAATAAGAAAGAAATAAAGTGCTGTTCAACTCACTTTGTTAACTAGTGCTGACAGTAACCTGCGCTCTTGTTCAGATTTACTCTTAAGCAGCACATAAATGGTCTGGAACAATAATGAAATGTAAGCACTTTAGGTAGGTCTTACCATAACCTATTCATAAAGTTAAGTTGAATATCGATGACATATTATTGTTTCCGAGACTGAAATGCTCAAGAATCTTAGAATATGACTAAATCAATGAAGAGAAAAGGTGGGAAGAGATTGTGTGAAACTGAGTTAGAGTCAGAAAAACAACCTTCAATGCCTTGTTTTTTAGTGCTGGTAGGTCATCTCTTGATGCTTCCTCAAGTGCAATAACAAATCTTTCATACCTTGTACATTTAACATCAGACAAGAAATTAGAAAGTCCCCAACAAAAGAGATTAAGAAAAGAGAAGCTCCAATTGAAAGAGCTAAGAAGTAGTGTAATTACTACAAGACAGTTTAGTATGATGAAATAAATCTATTTTGGAAATAAACAATGAACCAAATATATTAAGCAAAACAAGTAAAAATATTTCATCAGTTGACATTTTAACAAACAAGAACGAGGCATTCCGCTCAGAAATATATTGAAGTGCAAAGTACCTTTGCTTCAGACATTCCTCCCAATACCAAAATAGCAATAGAGAGTTTCCATCCTTTGTATCAGGAAGATGATTTAACGGCCGTTGTAGTAAATTCTTCAGTTTCCGATCAGGCAACAAACTGATAAGAGAGAAGAGGTAAGTTTATGATAAGCTAATCCATGAAACTCACACACCATTACTGCACAACAGATACCACAATTAAAGACGCCACCTTGAGATAAAGAGTTCCATCAACGCTTCAAAACCCGTCAATGCATGGCGCTTCCCAACTTTTGACGTGACCATCCCTTCAAAAACCAAACCAAAAACACCGTTTCATAACAAAATGTGATGCAAGTCTCCAAAGTAACCATCAAATCCTCCCTATTAATTTAACTGACCATGCTAAACAAACCTAAAATAACATGTTTCATTATGCAACAACAGGTCAAATAATCAAAACTCATCTTCATTTTCTAGTCTAAAAATCCAAGAGAGCCTAAAATTTTGTACCTAAATTTGCCACTAAACATTCTTACGACACAACTTCTTGAGACCCTACAACATTTGATCACCAAGATAGCTCGTAGGATATTAAATGATAAGTAGGTGGCCACAAACAATAGAATTTTAATCACTTCTAAAGCCCAAAAAGATGCTTAGAAAGCAACAATTCGTCAATTTCAAGCTACAAATATCCAAACGTTCAAAGCCTGCAATCAAAATGCTCCTCTATAATGAGAATGTATGTCCATAATGCAAGAAAGAAAGAATACAAAGTTCCCAGTATCCTAATTTAGCCATTAGGCCATAAAGAAGTAAAAATATTATAACATACATCAGGCTCAATGAAGAACAATAACATGAAAAACCAACATCCGCAGCATAAACAGTGAAAATTCCAAAATCTCAAATAAAACGTTCTTCACAACAAAAACCCTAAAACATACCTAACAATGCATCAAGAGACCTCAAATTGGCAACTGGATTGTCCCCCACCATAACTGAAAATGCCGAAACCTTATCAGCAGCAGTACCCGACCTTTGTGTGGTGACCAACATTCTAATATCTCCACTCTTGCCTCTGGAAGCCTCATAATCCTGTGCATATTGCGCCATTAATCTCTCCCCAAGCTGTCTCTTCTTCTCCACCACTTTCTTCCACTCCTCCAAGTTTTCCAATGCCATCTTCTTCTCATTTCCCATAACTTTCCCTTCCAGTTCCGCAGCATCAACGTACCACGCACCCAGTACACTAGCTTTCACTAATGGAAGCTTCGGAAGGTTCTTGAATTTATCAAAACTTCGAGGCTTATCGTTGCCATCGTCGAGCGCGAGAACAGGGGGCTTACGCTTCGGTTGTTCCTTGGCTTTGGGATTGAGAGATTTAGGATTCTGGCTTTTGGTAGGGCCTTCCTGTGGAATTCGTTTTGCCTTATTTTGGTGTTTGATTGCCTTTAGAGGACCTTGTTTCCGAAAATCGACATCGTTGAACCCTGAAGATGGTGCTGAAGATGCGAGGCCAAGCGAAGAAGCGAATGAAGCTATGTCGGCTTTGAGAGTGTCTATGTCATCCGTATTGTTTGAAGCTTTGCTGGTGGCTGCATTAGCCGCCATTGTTGCAGAGCTCGTGAAGTTTTTTCGCAGCAGGACGGGGGACAGGGTTTTAAGTTTTAACGAGTTCTGTGAAACAATTTGGGAGTTTGAAAGGTCTCGGATCAGATATTGGACCGAGAAATGGCCCGTTTTGATCGATTATTGGGCCTAAAGTTCGGCCCATAATTGCACCCAAACACTAAAAGAGAATGGGCCTGGAACTACGGCGGCCCATTCGCTGATGGTGAAAAGGAAGGTGGCCACGTCGCTGTCGCTATAATTAGTTAGATGAACCGGACTCTCTCCGGCTCCCTCAAAATCTCTCACACCAATGGAAATAATATTTTTTTTTTATTATAAGCTCACGATCATTTTCTAAATTAGTTCAGGCCTAACAAACTTCATTTGGGTTGTAGTTCGTTTCAAAGCCAGGGCTAATTGCCCTACGTCGGCTTTCTCGATTGGGTTTTGCAGTCAACACGGTTGGGACCATTCGTGGGCTTTACAGACAATCGTTTGGCGGTCTTCAACCTTCCTGAGTTGCCATGGATTCCTCGTCTCTTTAACTCCCCAAGCTGATGAATTTTATCAATGAAGAGAAGCAAAGAGTCATGGTTGTTGAGATATATGATTTCTAACCTGGTATCAGAGTCATACCCTAAATTTAGTCATGTCAATGGAATTCTCAAATGTCGAACGAAGGACTCCAAAATAAAAATGAGTCGAGGCTCCTCGAAGGCGTAGTAAAAATGACTAAGACTCCAAAAGAAAAGGAGTCGAGCATCGATTAAGGGGAGGCATATTTTTTTCGAGGGGAGGTGTTGGATGCACTCCATTGGTATGAGACATTTTAAAGAACCGCAACGTAAAACCATGAGAGCTTAGGGTCAAAGTGGACAATTTTATACCATTGTAGAGAGTCGTGTTTACGTAACTTATATATATTTCAAATAATTTTTTAATGGACATAATTTTAATATTACGTCACTTTTAATATTTAAAAAAAATTATTTATTTACTCACAAAGCGATTTCAACCTCTTTTGAAATTATAATCCGATGAAAATGAATTATAAATTATTAATCATGGACCAATCAAACTATAATCCACGTTGGTTTAGTTGTTTTTAAAATAAAACAATTATATTTAAAAATTTAAAATAAATAAATTTAAACTTACTATTTTTAATTATTATTAATTTAAGAAAACAAAACAAAAGAAATTTAAATTTAATGGCCATGGTTATCATAATTTTTATTATTATAATATAAAAAAGGCAAGAAATTCAAAATGATGACCATTCATTAATATCATTATTATTTAAAATTAAAAAAAATTAAATAAAAGAAAATTTTAAATTAAGCATTGTCACTCTTCTTATTTAATCACATTTTCTGCTTCACACAATTTTTCTACCGTTCTTAATCGTAATCTTCTCATTCACACAATTTTTGTATCAATTTTAATCATAAAAGTATTTAGTGTTGCTCGAGCTTCCAATTTTTGTTTCGGCTTAAAATATTGTTGTGAGTTTTTAAATTGTAAATTTAGTTGTAGTATATTTTTAAAATTATAATATTTGTACCGATTTTATAGAAAAGATTGAGTTTGCTCTTTAAACTCATAAATAGAGCAGTGTTGCCGTTTTGCTTCGCATAATTTTTTCTAACTATATCTTATTTAATTTTGAAATTATTACGATAATTTCTAAGTTTTTCCTTCCTTGTTTATTATTTTGAATTGAATTATATTTTTATAATTGTGTTTATTTTGACTTTCAATTATCTAAAAAGATTGAAATAGTAATTTTTTTTTAATTCTATTCACCCTCAAAAGTTGTCATACAATTTTTAGAAATGTATTTAATGGAAATAGATAATAATAATAATAAAAAACTATTAGAAATGTATTTCTTGATACACAACAAAATTGAAAAATATTGACTATAACGGGTAAAAAACTACAATGTCCCTCAATTTGATAAAATTTATTTAAATAATTGGTACAATAAAATTAAAAATTATTAATCTCAACTCGGGTTTTTTTCCATCTAATATTTTAAATTGTCTAATAAAAAAATTTCAATTTTTGTTTGAGTTGTGAGTTGCAGGGACCGGGATGGGGACAGAGATGAGTATCTAACCCGTCTAAATATATTCTTTTTTTCTATATACATATTATAAAGATTTGAAGATGAATTAAATCATCTAAATATTAACATAGGTTAAAAATAAATAATAAGAAATATACATACATATAGATTATACATTTAGCAACGAGATTTGGATCTGTCCTAGCTGGGTAGTAACTTGGTTAGCAACTTTCCCCCCGATGTTTACAACTGTATTATGTACACTACACCCTCTGGGAAAGGTAAGGGTAAGGGTAAGGGTAAAGGTAAAATTAAAGTTAAAGTGTTGTGGTTAGAGAGCTCAAAGGTAAAACGTGCCTCCCCGTGTAATCCATCTCCCAAAATCAAACATCGAAAAACAATTATCATCTCCATTCTCACTTGAGAAGCTCAGAATTCTGTCCAAATTATAACCATTCAAAATCCTACTACATAAAATGCAATTTACTTTTGATTCTCTGTAACTTACTTGTTGTATAGTTCCTCTTCGCATGAATAAACTGAATCCGAATACCAATCCGCCATTAGAAACCTCGAGGTTGTTCTGCCAACAATTAACCAAACAGAGCTCAACAATTTTACTGGGTTTGGACAAGATTGTTGGGAAAGAGATTGATCATGAGTTTATAAGTAAGAATACATCTTCTTCGTTGGTATAAAGCCTCTTGGCAAAACCAAAAGTATAGCCATGAGAGCTTATGTTCAAGGTGGACAATATCATGTCATTGTAAAGAGTCAGGGCTCATAACATGGTATCAGAATCATACCCTTAACTTAGCCATGTCAATAGAATTCTCAAATGTCGAACAAATTAGTTGTGAGCCTTGAAGGTTTAGTACAAAATGACTCAAGTGTCAAACATAGGATGCACTTTGTTCGAGGGCTCTAGAGAAGGAGTCGAGCCTTAATTAAGGCTCTATGGTGTACTTTGTTCGAGAAGAGGATTGTTGAAGATTATTAAGAAAGGAGTCTCAGATCAACTAATTAAAGAGTCTATTTCTACGAGGCTATGAAAACTTATGCTCAAAGTAGACAATATCATACTAGCGTGGAGAGTCGTAGTTTCTAACCGAACAATAGAGTTATATATTGCAGAGAAATTATGAAAAAATATTACCTTTCTTGATCTATTTCTTCGTTACCAGAATCCATGGATTCAGAAGCGGAAACCACCTCGGGAAATTCTGGGCTTGTGTATCTGCAATAATTTGGGATTTCTGGCATTAATTCTACGAGACATTTGTTATGTCCCATGGACTCTTGGCGCAGAAGTTGTTTGGCTGCGAGAATGTCGTTCTCCACGAAAATATTGCTGTCTGAAAGCGACCTTTTCATGGTAGATCTCCATTTACTATGCTTGACAGGATCCAGCACGAGCATGCGTTTCTGAGGGGGAGGGTTCCCCAAAAACCTGCCACCAGATTGAAACAAGATCCACATCAGTTTCTTCTACTATATTTGTAACAAATGAATGAGGCCAGACTGACTCACAGATCAATGCCGTTCTGTTTCTGTTCGTCCATATACACATTGTTTACAAATCTTTGAAAAGTTTTAATGATATCAACGTACTCAATCGTTGGTTTCCATTGTCCTCTTCTCTCAGAAAACAACTGTAACAAAACAACACCGATTGATTCATAAATGAAAGTTGAAGATTGAAGGCTTAAAAGTATTATGTTACCTTATTGTGGGCAGGTGAACCACCATATTGGAGAGCAAGTTTGTCGCCCATAATCTCATAAATATCCATCAAGTGCCTTGCCAGAGGGTCATCCAGATCAATATCTGGGGATTCTAAATACCCAAAAGTTTGAAGCTGATATCCTAGAGCCGCAAGCCCGTAAGCATATTGAGCGATGTTTGTTCGATCCAAGCAGTCGAAGCAATTCGTCCTCAGAACTCCCTTTTGAAACCTTTTTATTTTTACATTACATCTACCATTATTTGCATTCTCGCTAATATTTACATCCCTGCACCACAAGTTCTGTTTTTACCGGTCGAACTACATTCAAGTTAGTTCGAGTAGATATCTTGAAACTTACTCGAGATAGGGTCGAGTCGAGCCCTCTAATGGTGAGCTTCGAGTCACTTGACAATGGAATGTGTCATTCAATTCCATTGCTAACTTCGTCAATTCTTTTAGCTTTGACAATACCACGATAGCTTTGCTGCAGAAAGTGAATGATCTTTTGTTGTTTAAGTTTAGAAATAATAAATATTTGTGTGAGGAAAATAAAGATAACCATCTTGAGTGTTGCTTCAAATCCCACTGAAGAAATTTTAGACGATTTTCCTCTAAACGCTCCGCATTGATGCATCCTAAAGCATTTACATATTCTGCATGCAGTAGAGTTTCTCTAGGCTTCTTTTCTCGCGTCTGCGTATTACAAAGTATACTTAAAATAAAAATATGTAATAATTCTCGACCAAAAATGGACATTACAACGATTAGATTAAGTCTAAAAGACAACATTTAGACAAAAATAATTTTGAAATATTTATGAAATGTAACATTACATGGGTTAAAAATAAATTGTAAAACCAAAAAGAAAAACGAGTTACCTTTGTTAAATCTAAGACGATTATAGGGTTTCCGTATCTATCGCCAAGATTCTTGAAGTGGAGTTTTGTGGCTTTGTAATCTTCTTGCTTTGGTACTGAGGGTAAAGAGATCGGTAGTGTGTAAGAAAAATAATACAGTGAAATCAACTAAAAGAAAAAAGGTTTAGGCAACGCATACTTATAACAACTGGATTGAATATTTTCAATAACGAGGTTTCCTGGGACCAGAAAACTGGAATGGAGCCTCGATTCTGCACGATGGAGCTTATTTGCACTGTTCGTCCTTCAGCTCTATCCTCGCTAACAACTTGTTCTGTCTCAACATCATTTGCAACTTTTCCATTCTCATTTACCCCTCGTCTTAAAAATCTGAACAAATTTTTTTTGAATAATCATAATACAAATTTTAAATTTTATGAAAACATTTTTTTTTTGTTTTGTTAGAGGATGGTTGGTGGAGAGTCCCACGTCTGCTCGACTAATTGAGAGGATGATCATAGTTTATAAATAAAGAATACATCTTAATTGATATTAGTGTGTTTAAAGGAGTATGATTATAGTTTACCTAGTGCATTTTCAAACTTATTTATTTATTTTAGATCCATATAAAATTCCAAAATGCATACCTAGTGCCGGCGTAATGACGTGAACGTCGGGCAATGAGAGTCAAATCAAAATCCCTGCCAGATACGGAAAGTTTAATCTGCAATGTTCCAAACATGTAATCAAAAGTTATAGAAAACGAATTTTTATTAGCAAAAATAATGACAAAAAAGTTTCTATTCGAAACGTGTTTTTAAAAAATTGGTTTCTATTTATTTAGAAAAAAAAGTTGAAAAGAAAATGGTGTTGCATACCTGTTTGAAGAAGCCGTACACTAAAGCAACTGTCCAGATATTGTTCTTGAGCTGCTTTCGAATGCCTCTAGTTAAATATTCATTCCACACGAACATTGATTTATAAACACTTTGATCTGTTTTATTTCTATTTAAATTGTCTTGAAGGCTACGCATAACATTATATGAGTAGCTGAAAAAGAAATCTTTGGTGAGATCTACCGAGTTAAGAAGCTTTTGATATCTGCTTTGAAAGGAACAAAATAAATTAGTATGGGGGAAAATGTAAAAATGGTTAGTAATTGAAGGAATGAGTGAACACTTTCCATCCAGTCATTCAGATTCGAAGACTGATAGAAGTCTTTCAAAAAAGAACATGGAAGTGCACCTTTTCTCGGTACTGCAATAAGCCAGTTTAGAGCGCACAACAGGATTTGGAATTATAACCATCATGCTCTTAGAAACGCTATATACTTTTGCCCCGAGCATGGACCCTATCTTCTTTCTCTCTGTTATCATCAGCATGTAGTATGGTTCTTTAAACTTTATGAATCCTAAGTTAAACCAAGAAGGACGAACAATAAAAACATTGAGATGATAGCAAAAAAAAAGAAAAAAAAGAACATAGGCTTGAAAGCTTACCGACTATTCCATAGCCAATAGATATTAACTTGAGTCCACCCATAGACCTGTTCCCCTGATGTATTCTTTTTAGAAGATCGAAGCACTCTTCCGTGGTATAGGTTGTATGATCTTCAAAAATGTTAAGCTCAGAAGGCTCCATTCTGTCAATCGAAAACAACCTCCACACTGTTCTCTTCCTACCTCTTCCCACTATGTAATAACGCTGTATTATAATCACATTGTGAACTCGGGTTAATATTTTAATTTTCAACCATTTTACAAAAACCAGCAACAACAGAGGATATTCGGCTGTCAATTACAATACATTACATTCCACATGGAGAGTTGATTGTGTCAAGGGTTCAATAGGCCTCAGGAGAAGCTCTATACTATACTTTATTCGAGTTGAGGATTGTTGGGAGAGAGTCACACATTAGCTAATTTAGGGAATGATCATGGGTTTATAAATAAGAAATGCATCTCTATTGGTATGAGACATTTCGGAAAAAGTCCAAAGCAAACTCATGAGAGCTCATGCTCAAAGTAGACAATATCATACCAGTGTGGATAGTCACGAATCTTAATATATGGCATATTCTCAAATCATTCCCTATACTTGTATGGAAAAAATGGAAGGCAATTATATTTTTCAATTAACTAGAATTTTATTAGCCAGAAACTGGTAACAGATAGCAGGAGCACTATAGGGGAAGAAGCTGTTGGGTCTAAAACTTATAAACTCGAGTTCATTTAACGTAAAGGAACAGAAAATAACTTTATAGGACTTTCTAGCATTGAATGAAGAATCTCGTCATGCCGAGTCTCACATGAACTTGCACATATTTAATGTCATTATTGTCATATAAGTCTATAACAAAAACCACCAATCATTGATTCTAGCATTACTTTCATCCAAAAGTTGCCGTCTAAAAAGTACATAAAAGTCCGAGACTAAATTTATTCTCAGGCAAGGTATGGCATATTCTTAAACAAGCATTTGGTCCTTTACGATCTCCAGTTTAAACTCATTCAACGAATACAGAAAGGAAATGACTCCTATGCTCAATTTAAGCATCAATGGAAGCCAATTCCATTTTTGTTTCATTCAATTGGCATACGGTTCGTTTGAACGATGATTGTTCAATAGAATCGCATACAAACTCACTCTCTAATTAGAACAACTTTATCCTAAAACGTCATGAACAAATTGAGGTTTGAGGGAAAAAGTATTTCTCCTGCAAACACATTATAAACACCTTCGTAATTAAACTTCCGAATCCATTTTTCAACCAACGCAATTCGATAGGATGAAATTTGTGCTTCAAAAATACAATGCAGCATTCCAAAACGTCGATACACAAAAAAAATGTACACATATGGATTAAATCAATACAACTATACGATTTCAAACAAGCCAGTGTAGCTTCGCAACAGGAAGAGAAAGAAGAGTAAGAAAATCATACCGCAAATGTCTGGTAGAGCCAGAATTTCTGAACGTCGAACATGCTGGAGTCCGACGATTCCATTAACAATTAAACCTATTTACAAATTGCTGAAGCTCGATCAACAACAATTACAAACAATGCTGCTAGATGCAAGGATATCGTCGATTAACGTAAAAAAAAAGTCTAAAATAGCAAAATCCTTTCGTAGCTCCTCAGCAAAAACCTCTAAACCTTCCCGCCACAAATGCATTTACAATGAGATTTGGAAGAAGCTAGACGGATTTGGAATCCAAATCTCTATTGAAAAACGAATTCCAGAGTTAAAGGTTGATTGATTATAACCAAAAATAAATTAACAAACTAAGAATCCGATCAAACGGAAACTCCAAAATTTAGAACGAGAATGAAAAAAAAAAAAACAAAACAAAAAAACAACAAAAAAAAACAACCAAACAAACAATTAGAGAAAAAAGAAAAATGTTTTAACGCTCACCATTACAACCGCACGAATAAAACTTTTCTGATTCTTATTATGATTTTTGTTTGTTTATATATTTTATTTATTTATTTATTTTTATAAATTAAAAATTCCTATTTTATTCCATTTTTCTTTTCTTAACTTAATAGTTAGGCCCAGTCTTTCATTCCAATTCTATTTTCCACCAATTTTATTTTATTTTTAGTTTTTTTTTAATAAATTAGTTAGGATTGTGAAATCCATGTACTTTATTTATAATTATTAGACAATAAATTATTATATGATTTAATCTAATTTATTCTTAAATATTTATTTTGTTACGTGGCTAAGTATAATTGGAAGATAATGTGAGACCAATTGCTTGGTCAACTAATTTTTCCTTATTTAATAAAGTTATGTTTGGTCAATTAATAATTTTTTTAATATTTTTTTTGTTTGCATTTATATTAAAATTCTAATTTTGATAAGGATGGTTTTATTTTATTTTATTTTCCTTACTAACCACTCTTATGTAAATGATAAATGCTTTTTAAAAATTTATTAAACATAAAATTAAATTTTCAAACATTAAATATTTAATATCTCATCTTATCAAAATTACAATTTGAATACATTAAATTTTAATTTTTTTAATTCATTGTGACATAAAATTAAAATTTCACGCTCAAATTGAATATAAAAAAAAAAAAATAAGTTTATATGGAGTAGATAAATTTTTTTTTTATTATTTTTTTTTTTTACAAAATTTAAAATTTTAAAAATTTATTAAGCATCAAATTAATTTTTCCAGACATTATGTAATTTTTTTAAAAAAATTGTAATATAAACCTGTTGCTCTCATTTAAAAATATATTGTTAAATAAATGTGAAAAACTATTTTCAAATTTAAGACGAATAAATAGATACATAATTTTTTTTGATACATAGATAAAAATGTAGAATAAATAAATAAATAATCATATATAATTTGAATGAGTATATATTTATTTCTAAATAATAAGAAATAGTTACTTCAAATATATTAATATATATCCTATTAAAAATACTTGAGTACTGTATTAAACTTAATTTTTTAAATAAATAATAAACTATATAATATTAGACAACTCACATTTCAAAGGTTATTATATTTTTCGTTTTAATCGTGTATAAATATTAATGATACGTTTGTCATTTTAATTTTATTTGAATTATTTAGTAAAAAATTATAATAATTTATTTGGATATAAGGTATGAAAGTTGACGACTATACATTTATTATAAAATTGATTTCTCAATAATAATTTAAATCAACAACTTGTCATGACAATAATTTGATAGAGAAAGTAGGTTAAAAAATAATAAGAAACATAACTTATTTTCTTTTTCATAATTATCAATATTTTAAATAAAAATAATTAATATCATTTATTATTAATCACTCTATTTGATATTAAAAAAATATAGGCAGAAATTAATTATAACAAAATAAACAATATAGATAATTTATTTTCAAAGTTTTAATGTATGTATTTCACCCATTTAAATATTTAAAAAAAAAAAAA